AAGTAACAGTCACTATATTTTGAAAACTGTTACTTTATCAAGGACTGGAACTGAGTATCAGTAGTAACACCATTTCCATGAAAAAGGATAGGTAACTTCTCTCTTACATAAGTATCATATTGTAATTCATTCTGGAAATCACAGCACAAAGAAGAGAATTAACAAAATAAAAATCATGACTAATGTATAAATCCCAGTGTGACTTTCAGCTCCAAACTGAAATTCCTGTGCACTAAATAAGAACAATATACAGAGGATATTGACCACTGATATGATTAGGGCTACTACTCTAATGGTGCCAGAAGCCTTGTGATCATAGCATATATTTCCATGAGAACATTTTTTTTTATATCAGCGTAAGACTACATCAAAAATATCTGGTAAAATACTTGAAGAACTTGTATTTGGAGGTGATCTGATTCCATCTTGCCCTAACTCTCTCCATTCCATATTTCTGTTTGGTGAACTAAAGTACGTAGAATTGTCACTATGACCATCCTGAATGACAGGGAGCTTCCTTAAAGAGATGTATCAATGTATCTTTATCTAGTAATTAACAAAAATAGATATATAAACTTCAAGTTATGCAAAAAATTTACACTTTTTATTTTTTTTATTCTTCAAAATGCTTTCATAATCTCCCTAAGTACTTCAATTTTTTTCTATTCCTTCATATCATGGTATCATTTCTTGATTGTAGCCTGTAACTTGGAGGAAAAACCAGATATGCTCTACACAACCTCATCCCTCAGTTCTAGACAAAACTCCATACTGTCATACAATGGCAGAGATGGTAAGATCAATATTTTGTGTCTTTTTGTTCATTAGAAAATAGATAATTAGTCATCTGACTATAAAGTCTAGCATAGCCTATAACGGGCTTCTATCTCGCTCAACATTCTAGAGCTGGAATTGAAGTGTTAATCATTCTAAATTGCTGCTTGAGAGAAGGAGATAGCAATTCAGGAAAAACAAACGTATGGATCAAACAAGATGTCTTCAGAGAAAAACAATTCAGGAAAGATTAATAAAGCCCCTTGAAACTATTGGTTTAATTCTGTATGCCTGTTATAGACAGAGTATAATGGATAATTACCACTATGAGATATCGTAGAAATCTATACCATGAGGAACTGTATTTTTCTGTGACTCACTCACTCTGCAGGCAGCCTGATAAACAAACAAGAATAACAATGCTAGGGCCCAATAATTCTCTGATTAGCTAGACAACAGCTCACTGTGTCAAACAGTCACCAAGTCAGTCAGAGCAGACAGTGGTATTTATACCCTAGTTTTGCAAGGAAATTAGAAATTACAGAAGGATTCTAGCACAAAATAGTTTTGGGAAAACATGACCACTAGCAATCTTAGTTTAAATAAGATAGCAGGCAAAACTAGACATGAAACTAAGCTTCAGATTTTGAAAGAGTGAATTTCAATAACATGGAGGTAAAATCAGATGGACAAAGGCACCTAGATACTTAAGTATACAAGACACCTAAACTTGCTCCAAAAACAAAGATGCGAAAGTCCAAAATAAGTTGTAAAAATCATCTGAAATTTGTTCTCTGAAAAGAGAAATTATAAGAAATGGTACCAGTTGTCCTCATCAAGGATGACATTGAAAATAATTAAAGGATTTTAAACATAAACAAATGTGGAACCGTTTGCAAAAAAACCACCCTCAAAGAAAATAAAAATTTTAAAATAAATTAAAATTAAGTTTCTTATTATGTAAACAATGAAATAAAGTAGCAGTTGAATGAAAAGATATTTTTGTAGTTACTTCTGAAACAAGAGGTAATTGCTCAGTCTTCAAAGAGCACTTGGGTCACTTACCTCTCAGCTCACAGTACTTGGAACAACACCCTCTTGTATCTTCCCAAGAAACTTTCTAACTTTCCTTCTTCTTCTGTAGCTCTACTACAGAGGTTTGAAACTGAGCTCATCAGGTAAGTGTGCTCTGGCTAACTGAATACCTGATTGTTAAGACTGTACTCACCTGCATTCTCTACCACTGAACTGCAGCACAGAGAATTGGCTTCACCTGTAACATAACAACATTTGATCTGACAGAAAACTACTGATTTAGATCTTGTATACATTAGATATATTGTTGGGGATAGATATACTATTGGGGAGAGGGCTGTTCAATAACAAAAAAAACAAAGAAAACAAAAAACAAACAAAAACCCAAAAAACAACATTCTAAGGTAAATATATGTTTTTCAGATAAAATTTCATCTAGTTTGGTCATTATCTCATTACTTAATTACATCACAGTGCCACAAATGTTATAGCCTTACCAATTTTATGATGACTTAACTGTGTCAGTGAACAAGGGAACAGCCATTGATGCCATTTCTATGGACCTCAGTGCAGCCATTGACATAGTACCCCCCAACATCCTTCTGTCCAAGTTGGAAAGATACGGATTTGATGGACAAGGAACTGGTTGTGAGATTGCAGCCAGAAAGTAGTAGTCAATGGCTCAGTGTCTGGATGGAGATCAGTGATGAAAGGTGTCCTCCAGGGGACAATGCTGGAACCAGTGCTCTTTAATGTCTTCATGAATTACATCAATAGTGGGATTGAGTGCACCCCCAGCAAATTTGCAGATGATACTAAGCTGAGTGGTGTGGTCAATATGCACAAGAAATGGAATACCACTCATAGACAGGCTCTAGAAACGAACTCAGCAGGAGCTTATGAGGCTCAATGAATCCAAATGCAAGGTCTTGCACCTGGGTCAGGGCAATCCTCACTATCATTACAAATGGGTGGAGGAAAGGATAGAGCACAGCCTAGCCAAAAAGGACTTGGGGTACTGGTGGATGGGAAGCTGGACATGAGCCAACAATGTGCCTAGCTCAGAAAACCAACCATATCCTGGACTGCATCAAAGAAGAGTGGCCAGCAGGTTGAGGAAGGTGTTCCTGCTCCTCTGCTCTGTGCTGGTGAGACCTCACCTTGAGCAGTGTGTACAGATATAGAGTGCTCAGTACAGAAGACATGTAGTCCTGTTGGCGTGTGTCCATAAGAGGGTCACAGAAATGATCCAAGGGATGGAGCACCTCCCCTGTGAGGACAGGCTAAGAGAACTGGGACTGTTTATCCTGGAGAAGAGAAGGTTCTGGGGAGAGCTGATAGAGAAGCCTTTCAGTATTTAATAGGGGTTAGAAGAAGGAAGGGACAAACTCTTCAGTGGTGTCTGTGGTGATAGGATGAGGGCAAATGGCTTCAAACTAAAAGAAAAGAGATTGGATATAAGGAAGAACCTTTTTCAAAGTGAGAGTGGTGAGGCAATGGAACAGGTTGACCAGAAAGGTGGTGGATGCCCCATCCCTAGAGACATACAAGGTCAGGCTGGAGGTGGTTCTGAGCAACCTGATGTAGCCGTAGGTGTCCCTGTTCATTGCAGGTGAATTTGACTAGATTGCCTGTAAGAGTCCCTTCTAACTCAAACGATTCTATGATATAGAATCAAATTATTCTATTATAATTTCATCATTTTATAATGAAATTATGAAAATTTTGTTTAATCATTGGATAAATACCAATTTAAAAAAGATGCTTTGAGAAAGCAGAGATTTTTCTGGTATTATCTAGGTGTGGTTAGATCAGCTATAGTTTGTGTCTCTTCCCTCCTTGTCTTTTACAAAATTAATTATCATTGTTGATTGTTTACACATCATGAATAAAAATGTTCATATGAATTTCGCGCTTAACACAAATTAAGTAATTAGATAACAGCAAGGCTTTCCTTACCCAGAACTGAAAGAAGTGGGACACTTAAAATGTAGTCCATCCTTTATAGCATTCTGATTGTACAAAAAATGTAATAGAATGGGTCACGTTGCTCAGAAATCCAAGAATTCACAGCGAATGTTCACAACCCTATAAATTAATTACAATTTTTTACCTAAGGTGCACTTGTTGGGTTTTGAATTTGGCACAGATATAATCACTTCAGGTTTGTCTGCACCTTTTGTACAGAAGCACTGATGCCTGGTAAGACACCTAAGCAGTGTTGAAAGGTGCTCCTTTACCACAAGCTATATTTATCTCTTACAAATCTACACTGCTTTGTATTAAAATGTTCTTTCTTTCTACCACAGCTTGCCAGCCACAGCAGCAATTTGATGCTCTGAGGTGCTACTTACACAGTTCTTGGAAGCTCTTAGACCAGAACTAAATCCCTCCATGCAGAGAACATGCTTTTCTAGTAGTAGACTAAAAAATTAAGTGATGTATTCTGTCAGCATATGCAGGGCTGCAGTTAAAATGTTATGGGCTGGCATGCTACAGGAACAGGATACTTTCACCAGCCAAGATCTGTTTTAATTGAGCTGCTGTTTGTTAAATTTTATGCAGTGGTTTCATTGTGTGCTTGTAGCTGCTTTTGTAGGAACACCAAATGTTGATTAACTCACAAAAAAATGAATTATTTGATGACGAAAATCAAAATAATCACACAAAATTTGAAGTTTGCTCAGAAAACCAATGATAGCCACTAAATGCTGGCATGGCAATTTGCAGTGGTGCCCATAAATCCTGTCACTTGAAAAGGAGCCAATTAATAACTAAATACATCCTTATACTGTGCAAGTACTAAACAAGCATACACATTTTGCAAAGCTCTTGAGTTGTAAGTCAGTGAAAAACAAAAAAATACTTGTCAATGCATCTTTCCCTCCCAGTCATATTCATGGGGAAGAGTCTTATCTACATTTGAAAAAAATGTGTATATATATATATATATATATACACATATATATACGCACACACACACACAGAGAGAGAGAGAGAGAGAGAGGGGGAGAGAAAAAGAGTAGTAGATCCAGACCATTAAGAATTTCTCAAGTGGCTTCTGATAGGCTTTTCAGCTTTATAAAGAGACATTTCTACCAGTCAATATTTAGCTACCTTTTTTTGTTTTAAACAAGCTTTCAAGCCTTTTTTTTTTTTCATTTGTGTTATATTTAGACTGACTCACATACCTCCCTTTCCAATCAGTTGGTTAAATGGACAAGTTCAATCCAAAATGCAAGTATACATCTGTAGGTTAAGGGACACATATTTTAGGTGAGGCAAAACATCAAATTAACATAATTTGTGATGACTGGGGACTTAAACTTAGAATGACATCTTGCATGTCCTATTCTCCTTTCAAAAAGATATATCAGTTCTCTGTCCTGGTATTTCAGGCAACAGTGCAAGAACAAAGCAAATCTCAACCTTTCATTCTGTCTCCCTCTGGTCAAAGTGACAGATTCTACTGCATTTCCTCAGAGAGTGCTTATCTTCAACAGAAAGCATTTTTAAATTGCTAAGAAAAATTGCACTTAATAATGGCAGTTTTCCCCAGTGTAGAAAAAAACTTTTTAATGAAGTGCTCTGAATCCATTTCAGTATTTATTCCTAGAGTCAGAAATAGTGCTTCTAAGTGTACTTGTTTTCCTTTCACTTGCTTGAACCAGAAGTATTGATTTAGGGTATAAGTCTGGATATATAATGTGGGTTAAAAGAAGATTCTCCTAGATATAATCCAGTCTGCTTTTCAGATCAGTGTCTCCATGCATCTCTCCCCTAGTTCCCCTAAGATAATTGCAGTACATGAAACATCCTGATGATGCTGCAGAAAAATATTTGCCCACAGAAATGTTTTTGTCTTTCAAATATAGCTGACAGGATTTAGCCAAATCAGGAAAGATATCTCCTTGGCTGCACAAGTCATCACTTCAAAAGAAAATAATGAGGTGGTTCAGTCTGTTGATTGGTTGAGTTATAGGAGTGTACACAAGACCTGTCTGCATTTATTTCTTCAAACCTTCTTTTGATAACTGTTCACTACAAAACTATACAAACTCCCTCGGAGATGAAGAGTTGTATTGCAGTAGTTTTCTCACAAGGTAGCCAAAAAGTGGCCAATTTATAATAAATGTCTGCCTTTGTGTGCTGAAATATTAGTTTAAAATACTTCATTTCTAAAGGGAACAAAAGACTCCTATAACTATAACGCTATAACATCTAAAAGAGGTCAGAGGAAAAAAAAAAAAAAAAAATCAAGCATTATTTTAATCTTAGTTAACATATTTTTACATAAATACAAATCCTTCTATTGAGATAAAGTAGCAAATTATTTAATCATGCTGGAACCACTCCTGGATTTGAATACAGAATACTGATTTAGATCGTCTTTACTTCACAATCAATCTTAAGCTATCCTTTTCATACACTTTTGAAGCAACCCCAGAAAGGAATTAAATATTAAGATATTGCATTCTGTAAATTGTATGTCATATAAATTTCAAAGATTCATACATTCCTGTAAGTAGACGTTACTAGGCATTTGAATTAAGTCTTCTTTGTAAATCCAGTGTAGTAGTTAACAGAACATGAGAGCATTTGTTAACTATTATTCCCTATCATTCAAACAGAATTTTCCAAATAAATGGACAAGTTAAAATAGCGAATAATATCTTTTCTGCAGTAACTGTACAGAATACAGTGAAATTCTTCCAGAAAATAAAGTACTATGTAGATCTTCCTATATGGTAGATATGTATAGTCTTGTGTAATTAAAATAAAGATTATATGAAGCCAGCACAATAACTTCAGAATATTAAATCAAATATGTGAACAAATAGTTTTAAAGCGTATATTTACCATTTTATTACTGCTGTTCATTTGTGGACTTCTTTTTTGGTGATGTTAGTGATTCAGAGTGAGGCATCTTTCAAAACCATAATCATTAAAAAGCCACGGAACTGGATTTCAGATTTATCAAAATGATACGGAAGCCTTCTTCCGATTCAGAATTACCTATGAGTTAGAAATGAAACTCTGTTCTACACTGCTTTGATGCAGTAAAGCAGTTTTGCTTGCTTTCCTTTGGAAACAATTTCAGACACAGTCACAGTAGAAATATGCACTAACTAGACAAATAAGCAGTATAAACCAATAAAGATTTTAGCCGACAATAAAATAAAAAATACCAGTTCATTTTACAATGTAAAAATAGAAGTCAGTTTTCAAAAGCTATTGCTATGTATATTAATACAGAAGGTTTCTAGTTTTGACACCTTAACATTTTGCAGTCTGCTGAACTTTGTGGTAAACAAATTCATTTTTTTTTAGTACAAAATAAAATACAGATGTTGCATTCTATACACAGGAAAGCAGAGACACAAGTGTGACTTGCAAATCATACACAGGAGTGGTGACACTAAATCTAAGTGGAGAGTAAGACTTCTGTAACTCAGCTCTGCAAATGTTTGTCTTTCCTTTAACTAATAGTATAAAAAACTCACAACAATTCTAAATTAAAAAAATGGCACGCCCACAGCCTTCAGCTTGCTTGTACCAACTCTAGATAAGCAGACCTAGAAATTCCCCTCCCTCCCCTCCAAGAATTTAAGCGAGTTGGAAAGTGATTAACCCCATTCAGGGATGTCATAGATTTAGAAGGAGCTCAGGGGAAATCAGTGCAAGCATTGATTTGATTTTCTGTTTGAATATAGTATCAAAGAGACATTCTAGAGAAAAGAGATTAATCCAGCAGAAAACACGTGCTATAGCTGTGTTATGAATATTTGATGTGCCTTCAGTACTATAAAGCCAATACTACTCTACCACGGCTAAGGCAGGAAGTAATCCTCACTCTGTGTGTGTCTCCCTACCTATTAATCACATTTCGTGCTACAGGAAATAATGGGATGCAGATAAACCTCTGAATGTTGTTATACATACAAAAGACCAGAGCTCCAGAATTCACACAACCATATCTAACAGGTTACTGCTCCCCTTACTGGTCAATTTGTTCAGCAATTTTTGTTAGGTTATCTGTCACACCTGCACTGAGACAGCAAAGGCTTTGAGTCTATTACTCCCAGGCCTCCTTTCTACCACCTCCCAGGGCAGCTCACATTATGTGGCACTAGTTTTACTTCTCTTTCTTATAAACTATTATATATATCCTTTTTCTTACGCTAAGGCAGCCAATGCCTCAAATGATTAAAATCTGAAGTTGTATCTTTCAAAATCTCATTATTGAGCTCAACATTTGAACATGTACAGGAAAACATAAGAGTATTTTAACTTGTGCTACAGAAAAAAAAAAAAAAAACCTGCTACTGGACAAAAAAGAACAGTACATTTAGTTCTCTCTTCTTTGGGTGTGATTTGTTCACTTTTTAAATCTATTTTATTTTTCCCAAATAGCATAAATGCAGGATTACTCTATAGCTGCATACTTCCTTTAGTATGGGAGAGATTATTCCCCTCTATTTATATCATGCGTTAAAGGAGGTGGAGGAAATGGAATCAAAATTTCAGCAGCTCTTCCCTCTTTCTCCCATTTTTCTGCTGCGAAGGCTTTTTTTTTTTTTCCTTAACTTTTGCTCAAGACACATAAGGCTGAAAGAAATAAGTTATTATTCAAGTTCTTTAAAAAGATACTACTTTAAGTTACTTTTTTATTCAATTCTTCCTGATACACTGATTCATCTCATGTAGCAGGCAAGTTAATTTCCTCTTGAATTTCTCAAATTCTACTATATTTAATTGGAAGAGGCTGTTTAAAACAATTAGTGAAATTTACTTTGGCTCTCATGTAAATGCTGCGTTTTCATGGCGAGTATTTATGCAAACTGAATACTTACTGGGAATGAAACAGCTGCTGCAGTTTCTGCTTATCAAATCTGAAAATACAAGTTACATGGTTTCTATCTAGCTATGCAGAAAGTGCATCAATTGCAGAAGAGAATCAATTGCATAGAAATTATTTCTTTTCTAATACATCCAATGGAAAGAGTGAGTTGCTTTATAGGTTGCAGTACACGTGCAGGTTGCCCCCAGAGACGTTCTGTGGAAAGCTGTTAGTGCACTGATTTGGATTAACCTACTTTGTCTCGGGAAATGTTACATGACATAACCTCAACAAATTTTTTTAAAAAAGGTGTAAACAACTGTAATGTTATGATGTGATGGAAAGTACAGCAGTAATAGTAGGGTAGCAAAATCCTTAACTGCAACAACTGAGGACAAGCCCAAATGCAGATGCTGTGAATACAGAAATGAAAGAAAAAAAAGCTGCTTACCTTCAGAATGCTTCAGATACATAGAGATCTCCACCAAAATATCCTTACCTCCACTGCCAACCCTTACATGATATTTGGGAGGGGTGGATCCTGGCTCCATTCCATCCAATCACTCAGGTGTATTGCACCTGAGCTCCCCTGGGTTGTCCCTGACTTCCCACCAGGTGTTTAATCACTATTTCAGCCCATGACTTAGAATTTCAACTACAACATTTTTTTCATAATTTAAGTCAATATCTTGTTCACTAGCCCTGTGATATTATTGATGACAACAACACATACTCATTAAAAAATTCCCCTGACAATTTTGATACATTTTTGTTTTGAAGACAAAGAAGAAAAGGTTTTGTAAACATAATCTGAGCTTTCTCCTTCTCAAGGCTCAAATGAGAAAGATATTCTCAGATACCAAAAAAGAAGACGGTGTTTTAATCTTAATATCCTAAGTTCTATAATGTTACTGCAGAACAACTGACAATTGTTATTGCACTTACTCAATAGCCTTTTTTTTTGAGTCAACAACTTTTGAGTCAACAATACATATGAAAATTACAATTTTCATCAGTGTGACTTGAGAATTATTTCATGTTATATGCTAGGGTCCAGTTCTCACAAAATAAAAAACTTGTCTGACTCCTACCAACCATTAGATTAGTCCCTTAAAGCATCTATGACAGAGTCCAACTCCCTAAGCAAGATGAATTATTAGACAAAAATCTATTTTCCCTGCAGCATGATCTTCAAGTTGGTCGTTGTAGAGATGAGAATTTCCTCTCCGTGGCTCTTTTATCACAGTCACATTGTGATAAAATATGTGACATTGAAGCACATGTGACATTGAAGCAGTGTCAGTCATTTTCCAATGTCTGAAGACAAATTCCTCAGTGTTATATTTACTGCTCTCACTGCAACACAGCAAAATGTCTTGTAAAACTGGTAAGAAATGGAGTGGAAAAAATGAAGGTATAATTACATGCCCCTGCTTATGTGTTATATGGTTAATTAATCAAATGAGTGAAACGGGAGCATGGATGAAATGAATTAGTCATTAGAAACAATGAGATTTGAATTGTATTTTACCAGACCAATAAAGTTTTGCAGGAGTCAAATGTCTTAGGAAAGACAATAAGAAATGACTAAAAAATTGCTGGGGGGTGCAGGAGGGGATTTGAACAATCTTCATTCTAACAACAACTGAAGGACCATTATTTTACCTAAATGTAAAATATATGAGGATAGAAGAGATGAAGAAGATTATTCTGACTTCATAGGGGCTGGGAGATCACTAATGTGTATTAAATCTCCTGTATTTCTAGGCTTTTGCTTGTTCCCTAGTCTAAACAGCAGTACAATTTGAAACTTCACACTGTGCAGGGGTACAATAACATTTCCATGCCACCATCCCCGGCCACTGGTCTTAAAGAATGTCCCATTTTTTTGGAGTGAAGGGCCTTGGATGATAAGGCCCCTCAGTTACTTTCCAAAATGAGCAGTAACACGTCATCGCTCTAATTCTCCTAATGTCACTACAGCTCCCCTCTTGACAGAATTTCCAAGATGCAAGTGGCAGGATATGAAATAAAAGTAAAGAGTGGAAAAGATGGTACTAGGCTGTACTGGCAGCCTGAATGGTGCAGTGTTCTGCACTTTTTGAAACTTACTTATGGACTTAATTTCAGTAACCTGTGGGACTTGCCATTTATTTCTCATTTTTACTGTCAGAAAGAAGCTCAAAATATCCCAAGAGGAGTAAGTTGACATCACACTGTTGTCAGCCTCTGCTGCCTCCAAAATCACAAATTTAAAAGAAATAACTGTCTGTAGATGTTTGTTTACACAAAGGTATCAGGTGGGTGTGTTGTTTCTTACTACATGTCATGATTTTTGATATCGTTTGATTGTACTCTGTTGTGATTTTAACATGCTGACAGTTTAAAATAGAATTGCTCATATTACCTTAGCCTTCCCCCTTTGTCAGAAACAACTAGCTTTGAATGATTAAACTGTCTTCAGTTTATGGGTTGGCAACTCATGGGTGGCCTCGTCAAATGGGCATACCACTAAGGCATTATTTATATAGCCCATTCCTTCAGGTAACATCTCAGAGCATATGTCCCTGAAACATTATAGAAGTTTGTCTGATCTTGAATGAGATCACTTTTACAACCCGTCCAAAAGCTATAGAGCTAAGCTATCTCTACTTTCCTCTTTGCTTCAGTGCAATCTCATTTCTTGTTGCATCCACAGTGGGTGTAGAGAATGTATGCTACTTTCTCTAGTTAGTTTTTATGTTCATGTCTTTAGAGACCCACCATCTAAAGCCCTTATTTTTTCCCCTCAGATCATGTATTTTGACCAGACCCAGTGATTTCTAATTTTTTTTTTCCATGCTGGCTCACACTTCTCTTAAAATGCAGGATCTGAAACTAGCAGCTAAAGCTATCCTAAAATGGAAGCATAGTAAAATTACTTCACAGTTCTTCTCCACAACATACCATTTTTCCAGCAGTGCAATCCTGATGATTTAGACTCAGGCTATGATCTTCTGACAGCTGCAAGGGTGATGCAGGAAAAGAGAGGAGCAACCAAACGTGAGAGAGAGTGCAGAAATAAAAGTAATGTGCCTTTTGAGAGTGGGAGTACAGCCAGGGTGTGATAAATGGTTACGGGCTGTAATAACAGTCCAGCAGATATTTAAAAGCATTTTGCTGCCACCTAGTACTCTGTAATAGTAGAAGCACTGGCCTTTGGAAAAGCACAGAAAAGAGGAAAACATGAAGAAAAAAAAAGACCCCAACCTAAAGAATGTAACATCTCACATGAGCCTCCCATGCAGAAATGGATCTGCAAATAGTGTGAGTTGATGACTCTCTGTAGGATACCACTGTCCATAGATAATAGGAAATCCAATCCATAGTGTAATAGTGTTTCTGTGAATTGTAATATTGATTTTCTAACTAGCACAAAGGACTAGGTGTTTTTCCTGCTTACCTCGTTGGCTTTAAAATGTGTGTTTGTTCATGCATGCATCTTCCTAGTCCACTAACTTTTCTTAAGTCACTGGTTAGAGTGCACTCTTACAGTCAGGATGTATTCGAGATCTGCCTCTCTTTCAGTGTGTAAAATGTTCAGTTAAAATACTGTCTCTGATACAACCACTGGATTTGTAAGCTAATCTTTAGTCTGTACTTCTCTGCAGTGCAGGTAAAAAGCCCTGCATTAAAATGCCATGGACAGTGCTCTCACTACTTCTAGTAAACCGAGAGAAAAACATCAAAAATTACAATAAAACACAAACTAATCATCTTCCTTCCTCATCGTGGTAGTCAGTGGATATCTGTTATGAATATACCTTATCCTGCTGAGTTGCTGCTATCTAGAAACATGTATTCCTTTGTAAAATATGTAGTAGTGTCTCTCTCCCTTTATCCATGGCTGATATTCTTACCTTTCTGTTGACTTACCTTTATTGTCTTTTGACTTACCTTTCTGTTAAAATACAACATTTTATTTTATCTCACAAAAATTTTATCATGTTAATTAAGCACTATTCACCTGATTTGTGAATTATGTCCTGTCATGACATATTTGCTTGGCATTCCATTTACTGACTATTTTTGTCAAAATAATATCCCTTGAGTAGCAGTTCTAAGATATCCTTGGTATATATGGGGCTAAGAACCCTAAAATGACTCTTGGGAACCTAAAAATCTATTTATGCATTTCACCTTCTGAATGGAATTCTGAATTGTGAATGGAGAGAATTATTATTTTTCTCTGTCTTCAAATAACAAAGACCTCACACACAGCTGAGGGACATGATGAGACAGAGTGCAGAAAACTGTACAAGCTCCTTCCCTGAAACAGATATTTTTAGCCTGTATGAGGTACATATATTGATTTATTTAATGCACCAGTAATATGTGCATATGAAAGGGACCCCAGTTTATTGTCCCTTTAGGTAGTCCTTTTGTTGTTTTATACACCGTTTTCAAGTACTCTGTGTCAAAAGTCACTTTCTGACAGACTGCCTTTTACAAGTCCTGCATTCTGATGTTTTTACAAATGCTTGCTGCTGTTCTATTAACCTTAATTACTCACCTACATCTCCCAAGACTGAGATGTTCTTGAATGAATGCACAAATGCAAATCTTACAAAGAGCTGTTGTTTTGCTGAATCCTTCCTGCTCATTAAGTTGCAATGTTTTGCAGAGTGCCACTCATCTATGAAGTAAAACATATAGTCAGTGCAGAAATATAAATGGTGAAAATTCTGGGATTAACACACAAAGTAATTATCTTTAGAACTTTTTATATATTAAGAGATAATCACCTTTCAGATAAGTTACAGATAAGCACAGTAACATTAAATAAGGAGATTCAATTTAGTTCCACGTTGTAATTTCACTTTCCAAAAGTTTATGTGCTTGCAAAGGACTTGGTAACCTGTCTGCATCTACATGAAACATAATGTAAAGGGACAGTTTTTTTCAAACTGCATGACCACAAGCCTTGGCTTTGTATTTTATGTATGATTTGAATCCTCAAAAGTGTTGTTTTGTTTTGACTTTATTTTTAGTTCTCATTTTGATGTTTAAGTACTTGCTGCAGGGATTTAAAACATCTGTTGTTTTTTAGCAGAAAGAGTTATAGATATTTGCTGCTTGATATGGAATATTTATTGGACAAAAGGATATATTACAATTGTTTGGTATACAGACTAGAAAGAGATACATTTAGAATTACAACACTTCTATATATTTCACACAAACTTTTAAAGGGAAAAGAGTAAAACATTTGTCTTGGATATAAATTACAGACAGGAAAAAATGATACCCAACATTAGCAGTGTTTTGAAGCAAAACAAAATATTTATCAAATTTCCCACTTTTCAAAAGATATGTTTTGGTAGCTGTATATGGAGACAGAATACAATTTGGAAACAAATGACTGGCTATAAACTTTTTACTTGAAACACTTTCCCCTTTTTCATAGTATTCTTTTTGTTGTTTACATTGCACTTCATCAAATCACAACATAAAAATTCTGTGTACTAAACATTAATGCAATATACCACAACATATAGTATATATATATATATATATACTGTCATCAGAATATTTTGACTATCATTATGTTGGCTATTTTTCAGTTTATTTTAAAGAAAAAATTAAAGGCAGCCACTGCCCAGAACAGACAGAAATGACTCGTCATCATTAGAAATATTTCTTTTTTATATTGTAAGTGAAAGAATGTGGCACTGAATAGATGTGTCTGTCAAAGCATCCTTCTGTTATGCTGATCTCTGGATTGCTAGTTACTAAAAACCTGAAGGCTTTATTATGCTCAAAAGAATGATGCTGGCAGGGCTGTCAGAAAGCAAAGAGACTTTACTCCTGAAGACAGCACTGAAACCATAACATAACTGCACTTGTTGGTTCATGAAAAAAAAAACCTATAAGGGCAAAAACAACCTCAACCATGCACTACTAGGAAGTACCAGCACATAATTTCCCAGGGCTATGTATACACTTGTACTACCACTGTGGAAGAAAATGACAGCTCTTGAGAAGAAGCAACATCAGAGTGGGTCACTTAGTATTGATTAACCACCACTTCTTGTGTTTTCCAGTGCAGGTAGGAGGAGAGTTAGATAATCAATGCGTTCTCCCTCTCACCTTAAGAATTACCCCTCAAGCACTGTGCTCTGACATGGCTCTGTCAGACTGATCAGTCCAGACTTGGCTAGTCTGAACTAGTGGTGCAGCTGGCATTTGCATTCTGCGGTGGGTGGAAGGACAATACTTCAAGGCATTTGCATAGACAGTAATGTCTACCTGGATTGTCAGCATTCTTTCTGAAAAATATTTGCAAGTTTAGGACAATCTTTAAATACGTATTAATAATGAATATATTGTCTGTTATTGCTATATTTTTAAGAAGGCTTTTCCATTGTATTCATTAAGTTAACATCTGCAGGAAATTGTTGTGGATTATCAACTGTGTCACATCTTGCAAGAAAGAATTTAATTAAGTAAATGAAGATATTCCAAAGAAATACCAGCTGGATCCCTGGAAGAACAAGAGAATACAGATCATCTTAAAATGTCTTAACTAACTTAAATAAGTAGTAAAGCCTTTACAAATGTTGGCAAAATATGTGCTAATTTATGCATAGAGTAGCAAAATTGCATTTCACTGTGCACATCTGTCCACCCTCAGAGCAAAGCTGACATGAAAAAACAATAACCCATGTTTTGTTTCTTAAAAAAATTTAGTTGGAAAGAAAACTAAACAAATGAAAAAAACCCTCCACCTCACATCTCACTGGAAAGCATGTATTTTCACTTGAATTAAACCTAATGTGGTATTTTCATTGGAGAATAAAAGAATAAAAGAAATGGAAAGATAGAAATCAAACATAACAAATATTAATAGTGACCCTAATGATATGTAATGCTCAAAGATACATGCATTTCTGCCAAAACCGATCACTTAAAAATGGATAAATTTGCTACACGAATTGCTAATTTGTAATGGATACTCATCACGAACAGGAAATTCCTAAGAATTAGAAAGATTAAGCTTGCTACAGCCAAATAATCTTCATTACAAAAATACAGAGAAATAACCCAGATAAAATGAAACTGCAGATCCAGTAGGCTGTGGGAGCACACTTCACTAATGTTTTAAAATGCTGCAGAGAAATGAATAAGGAGTTGACAGAGTAGAGTCAAGTAGCAGCAATATTCTTCACATTGCATTATTGGCAACACTGGATTACAGTAAGATGCCTTGGGAGAAATCAGGACCAGTTTAATCCACAGCTTGGATAATCTACTTATGAATAATAGAAAATTAATATTATTACATTCTGTAAACACACATCACCTTAATATTTGAGAGTTAGACCCTTAAATGGGTGCTACTAATTGCCTGCTAATACACAGGCAACACTAAAGGTTGCTGCTCAGCTGCTTCTTAACCATATGAATGAATAAATTTCAGACTGTGAAAACGTCTAAAGATTTTAAACAGAAAACATTCTTCAAGCCTGTTACATCTTCAACAGCTGAACTAAGAAACTCTCAAATCACCCCTTATCACTTTGTTCGTTGATCTTATCTGATCTTTCGTATGTACCTGACTAGATGAGCAGAAAAGGAGGCTGCTATTCCAGAACATTTTATGTAGGTATGGATATAATCTACATGATTTTGGACCTGCATCCTCTTGGTATAAAAAATTGAATTCCATAGAGATATCAACTTCCACTTCTCTGAATTTTGTTGTGTTGGACATAGTCTCTATTATGTGGCAATTTGGATTGTTCTCTTATTGGTTCTGCCAGGTGAAACGTCAATTTTTTACTGGTGCTTAAGTGCGAAATACGAAGGTGGATGATTTCACTTTACAAATCATTGTAAAAAATTGTTTTACCCCAAACCTACCCATTTTATGGCTTGTCACAACACAGTGAGGAAGAAAACACATGTACATATGCATCACAATTCTGCTACCATGCTGCAGTCTTCAAACATGTTTCAGTTACTACCAAAAGACTCTGGTTTGGGCAGAATGGGAGTCAGAGTAATAGAACAGTTGCTGAATTCCCAACAAGTGCTTTTTCACTCTCTTTTCTGAAGTATTTTATAGCCGAATAAAGACATACAGGGATGACCGTCTGATTGATTGTCTATGTGGAGTAACAAAAAAGTCATGATCTAAAGCTATACAGGAGACACTTGTAGAAAATTGGCTGGTACTTGTACTCTGCACTTTCCATTCTGAAATATTTAATTATACTCATGAGTATAGTTATTTCTTTTCTTTTCTGGTATAATAAACATCAGGATGACGTCTATGCCTCCAGCATAATCAGGAAGTTGTTTACATATTGCTGTCAGCACATATTCCCTATACATTTCCTTCACAGTTGAAGGGTTTATAATCAAAAGTAAATAACTAGAGGAATTGTATGGGATTTGAAAATTACAAGCACAGCTACTTTGAGTTTAGACAGTTTACTACTGATTCTTCCAGTCAAAACATTATTACAAGAATTAATTGATTAAGAGATTACTTACTATTGCTTTTCTTTCATGAAGATTTTTTTTTAAATACTTCTCACTCCAGGTCATAAGATAGAACCTTGAAAATGTCACCTCAATTGTCTTCCACATTTCCAAGCACAGTTCAAAATATTTGTACAAGCAATTGCAAATGAAAGATAAATGTGGTATGGTCAGCCCACACAGGTAGGTATCCATCATTTGTAATGGGTCAATTCCGACTGTTTTTCATTTGTTTGTTTGTTTTTGCTGTTTTTTTTGTTTTGTGTATGGTTTTTATTTGAACTAGCATAACTGAATTTCTTTGTAGAATATAGTTGTAACATTTTTTTAATTCTGAAATTTAGATTTTAAAGCCTAAAGTTATCAATGACTAGCACAGCTAGTCATTCATCATAAATGTCAGAAAAGAATTTAACTAGCAAGGAATGAGCTCAAATCCTACATGTAAAAGCATTCATTTGAATATGCATGTTCATACATGAGAAAACAAAAAAGATGTTGAACCTGCACAGTAAACAGCAAAAAATATCTTGTTAAAATCACTAACCTTGAAAGAAATTATAAACATGTATTTGCATAAAACAGTATTCTCCAGACATCAGCTCATGCAAATAAGTGGTGATCTGTGCACATTTAAAGAGTCAGATGTTAACTCTCTGCCTCATAATTCTGCAGATACATTTATGAAAGAGAATTCCTGTGTTCACAGAGCCACTGCTCTTGCTATATATTGAAAGTAGATTAATTTCTCTGGTGCTACTCAAATAAGGCAGATTAATGCATTTTGGGGCAGATGATCCAGTGGCTTCTTACATTCTATACCAGGTGTGAAGCCCTAGATTTTCTTCATGTATCCCCTTTTTTTTAAAGATTTCCTTGCAAGTCTCTTTGCATTTCATAGCTTAATTCAGAATAGGCCCTAGTTTAACAGTTGCTCAGGTAAAAGAATATACAAAAAGTGCAAAGTACAGCATATTTAAACATCTATAATGAACAATAATATGTATGGTTCCTGACCAAAACTTTTCTATAGCAGATGAAAAGCACCTCTATCACTTTTTTAGGTTTGTCTTTCAAAATAAAGACCTTATTTCTGATTTCAGTAAGAACAAGGTTAACGTTTCTGCTGATTTCAGTTTTACTCAGCAAACAGGCTTTTATTTTTGTACTCATAAATTGTTCAAACAAAGGTCTACATTGGATTCTACAGCTAAATATGTGCCAATGATACATCTATATCACTAAATTCAAGTGTTCCCAAGAGTGTTCTCGGGTACTGAAACACCATTTCTTATATTTATGATCTGTGCAAATGTTGTCTTGCAGGCTTTTATTCCTTGTGTTCTATCAGGCAATTTTTGGGTGCTGGTCACAGCAGGTACCAGCCATAAACAGCACTTGCATGCTGGTACACTGTTTCCAAGACAAGAAAAGTCTGCTAACATGTAGATGGGACACTTTTTCCCCAGTTGCCTCAGTAGCCAGCAATATTCCCAGGTTAAGGATTTTACAACTTAATATGCAGATAATTGCCAGAAGGAAATATAACAGAAAAGCAGACAAATAAATAAAAACTAGAATAAATCACATAAATATCTTGTCTCTCTCTGTTAGTATATTAAAAATATTATTGCAAAAAAATTGGCTTGGTTTGTCTTCCTTAAATAATTTGTTTTATCAAATAATTTGTTTTATTAAATCATTTGATTATTTTTTAAATAATCAGTGCAGTTAGTAGCATCTGTAGGGTTCATATGTCAGCCTGCTAAAAACTGTAGAAGTGTGACCAGCAGGAAGAGGGAGGTGATTCTACCCTTCTACTCTGCACTTGTGAGTGTACAGGTCTGGGGCCCCCACCATGAGAAAAACGTGGAGTTGCTGGATTGAGTCCAGAGGAGAGCCATGAAGTTGATCAGAAGTCTGGAAGGACCTCCCCTGTGAGGAGAGGCTGAGAGAACTGGGGCTTTTCAGTCTGGAGAAGAAAAAGCTCTAGAGGAACATTATAGCAGCTTTCCTATACCCAAATGGGGCCCACAAGAAAGCTGGGGAGGAACATTTTATGAGGGCAGGTACAAGGGGAAATGGTTTCAAACTGGAAGAGGGTAGATTTAGAGTAGATATTAGGAAGAAATTCTTTACTGTGAAGGTGGGATACTCTGGAACAGGTTGCCTAGTGAGGTTATGAATGTCTTCTCCCTGGAGGCATTCAAGTCCAGGCTGCATGAGGCTTCGAGCAACCTGGTCTACTGGGAGGTGTCCCTGCCTATAGAAGGGGGTTGGAACTAGATGATCGTAAAGGTCCCTTTCAACCCAAACCATTCTGTGATTTTATTACTATCAAATGCTATTGCAAGATTCCACTCTTCCTGACTTTGTCTAAATTTCCCTAATAGGACAAAGCCTTTGGGGACAGAAAGACACGTGGCACAGTGTAAACTCCAGCTGTTAGTTTCATTTGATTACTGAATTGAACTGATTAAATGTGCAAGTATTATGACAAACACTGTATTTTCTTCTCCACAGAAGGAAGTAGATGATATAATTCTGTTCCAAAGTAATATGATTTTCATTGGAATAAGGAAACAAAAACTCTAGCCATCATACTAGTTCCTCTCTTGCATTAGAGATGAGTAAAACATAAACAATGAGATGATGTCCATTTGCAGGTAAGTATACATTTAATTGAGGTACCAAGCTTCAGTCATGAGAAATACTCAGAACATGACATCCAACTCTGAAGATGAACAGACTAACTATATATGCACAATTGACTGAAAAAATGACATGCATCAATGCACTGAGCCTCACATTCAAAACAAGACAGACATGAAAGAGAACCATAGCACAGTGATGGTTCAAGTTGTAAAGTGGGGGATTCTTGAATCAAGAAATTCAAGAAGATTTAGGGAATCAGATACAGGGTCTAGATGAACTTGAGTAGAATTAGGGAGTTGAAATCCAAAAAATACTCCCAGCAGCACAGCTATTATAAAATGATACCATTTTTTAATCTTCTTCTTTAGCCAAGGATATTTAATTGCATGTCAGCTTTAACTGATGGCTTTTCATCCATAGCCATATGGGGTTGAGTAAAATGAAATGAAAATTTCCCAGGTGAAGAAAATCCAGTGATCCAGGACACTACAGAGAAAGAGAAACTATCAGCTTTTGGATTTTTGTTTTGAACATGTTTCTCTAAATACAGCAACGGTACTGAAACAGAAGTTTTGGAAATATTTAACAGGAAATAAATGTGTTAAAAGAAACTGCATCCTACTTGCTAGTAGACTGCGAAGCGGAATCTATGTTTACAATATAGGACTTGAATTTTATTCCCTTGAGTGTAAGAAAATGAATGAATAACATTCTAGTAAAAGGGCAACTATTAAAAAATCAGATCTAAGATATTATTTCTAAAACTAGGAATCAGAGAAGTGAATAAAAATTTTGAATTGGTTCTCCAATGTGCTGAAAACTTGTGTATGTATGTCGGGATGGTAAGTCAGTGGAGCTTGAAACAAAAGTTAAGTAAGAGTTATTAAAGAAAGACAATTACAAATTATGAATTAAATTATGCCTTACAAATTGTGAATTCAGATGACAGAAATGATAGTTGGAAGGCCAATTAATAAGTTTAATATTTTCATGTAGTAGTAAGACCTTTATCTGAAAACAAGTGGTTGTTTTATGTTGGTTTTGTTTATTTATTTATTTCCACTTTTGCTCAAACAGGTAATACTACTTATTACACCTGTATCTGCAAGTCTAGCTGATAATACCACAGCTACTCTTGCAACTCTTAGTCCTATGTATTTATGTTAATGAGTTACACAACAGTACTGCTACTTTTACCTGTATCACAGCTACAAAACCACATCATGGCTCTTTATGTGTTACCTTTTATGTCTGACACGGAAAGAAGAGATGCTATTGCAGTCAGCATGCCAAGGCTCTTCTCATTTCCTCCAAATGGACATTGCTGTTTAAATTCTTTGCTCCAAAGCAGACTGCATTTGTAGGCAGATAACATCTTTAATTAGACTGAGATATGTCATGCTAAAATGTAGACAAGCTTTTGGGCATGCAGATCTGAGCAGCAGCAGTAGACTGCAAAGCTAGATTCAAGATAAGAACAATTACATAGGATTTAATTAGTTGTATATGAGAATGGGAAGCAAGAGAGACAAAAAAGGCTGTTTCCCTGGACGAAAAGGAGAATGAGAAGCTATTTGCAGCTTTTGGAATACAAACAGATGGGTCAGGGTCACAGCTCTAAATAAATATTTCTATTAAATTTAGGTATCCAGAAGAATTATGAATTTTAGTTCTTTTTTCTCATTTTTGGAAGATACTCTTTGAGGCTCAAACTTAGAGCAGTAAGTGTTCCTTCATTTGTTACTGTAGATTCTGAGCTCTTTAATGATAGTAGGGGTACAGATAATAGAAAAACAAGAAAAGAGGCAAAAGTGTCCAGAAAAAAAATGGAGTCATGAAGAAAAAACAAACAAAACACCCAAGCCATGATCAAAGCAATTCTATAACAATAGGGGCTGTGTTTCAAACCAGATAAATATGTACATATACAGGCAATTCATTAAAAAAAAAAAAAAGTCTATGGATTTATCAATGACTAAATAAAACATAATGTAGAGTTCTGATGAATGTATATATAGCATGGAAATAGATATTGTTTTGAACAATTTTTTTTCTATATATGATGCTACTGATACGATTCAGAATATGCTTATAATGCTTACAATTGTATACAGTACTTCCTCTTTTACCACTGAAATCACATTGACATACAAAGGAAGTGTCCAAAAGGACTGTTCTAGAGCATGGGTTGTGAGTAAGAATGAAAAGATAGACAGTTTTTATATATAAATGGGAGATATATTTCATCTAGAAAACAGTATAGCAACTGAGAGGGCAAAGATGTTACTGGTTCATTCTAGACCATAGAGATCAGAAAGAGCACGATTTACATTAGAATGTTGAAATGCAGAGTGTTGTGATAGTACAGAATTTTCATTCTTCTCTTAATGTTTACATATTGTTCACAGATTCTTCTTCCTTTATGTACGTGTTGCTTTTTTTCCAACTCTGCTGGAAAATAAAAATACAGAATTAAAAACTGTATTTAATTCTTATTCTTCTTGAAGGAAAAAAAAAGTTTAAAATCAAAGCTTTTATGCTTGGAGAGAGAAATTGCATTTTCCACTCAGGAATTATTTTACTGCCATATCTATATATTGTGGATATTTATTCCAGTGCATACACCATGTGAGTGGAGAATGGTCCAGATTCTCAGCTTTCTTCTAATGAATTAGAAGGAAATCACAACATTATTGCCCAAAAGGCAAAGTCAGCTAACTAAGTAAACATTAGTGTACCTCATGTAAGTATATATTGGAAAGTTCTTTAGGACTTATCTTATAAAAGATTAGTCTCCCTCCCCTTTCTGCCAGACAACTGACATCATCAGTGATCTGGTTGTGAAATGTCTAAAGGAAAATAGAAGCTTTACCTCACTGAAACCAGTGGGAGATTTGATGATTCCTTACAAGGAAGCAAGCTTTCAGCTACAGTCGAGTTTTTATGGAAAACAGACTGAAATAAGAAAAGATTGAGAAAAGTCACCTCAACATTGGCAACTGTATGCTGTTTCACTTTTTATATTTTATTTTACTTTGTTCAGTTAATTTTTCCATAAGTAAGAGAGAAGAAAGCCAACTCCTTCACGTGAACACACTCAAAAAACCCATTCAAAAGCTCTCAGGAAAGCTAGACTCCCAAGAAATATGAGCAGAACCAGCTACTGAAAGCTAGAAGTCTGACCAAAAATGTGATATCCCTTAACAAAAAGAAGAATTCTGAAGAATTCAATAGTCTTTAATGGTTTACATCAATATACGGCTGACTCAGGAAGCAACTCGGAGTAAAGTATGACAGTTCGATGAATCTTGAGGGTATGATATGAACCGAGTGTGAACAGTACTCATTATGAATGCAGTAAAAATGACAGATTTAATGATACTCAGGAAATTAAGATGCTTGTGAAATACTCTGGAAGTAAAAAACCAGCTCAATAAAGTCTGTTATCAGTTACATATCCCACTAGGTGGAGTGCTGAAATAAATAATTTTAAAAGCCATCACTATTTTCATTAAAAAAAAAAGTAAAATTCACTAAAAAATTAATGAGTATAACTGCATACATTTTAAAACAGGGAGTTTTAAAACTCACTGTTAAGGCTCAGGCTGCTGTTGCAAAAGAAGATTAAATATATTTTGATAAATTTTCTTTAAATAAAGATCATGGAGGAACTCTTTTTCTCCTCCAAGGATCAAAGATATTAAAGACAATCAGACATTAGGCTAATCAGTGACAGTGTAGAACTCCAGTAGTGATGCATGATGTTAACCAAAATGAATATGAAAATAATGTGTACAAATGATGAAAAAAATGATAAAAATATTTTCATAACTAAAAAGTAAGGGTTGTAGAATCCTATCTAACTATTGTTTGTAAGGAATGGCTTAATTACAAATAACAACTAGAATGCTGAATTTCAGAGTAAAGAGGAAACTCAGTTGTTTTTTCTTGGATAGTTAACCATTGATCTATTCCTTGATACCAGCTAACTTACAAGCAGCAACTTTAGTGCAATGTTTTCTGCTTTTTATTTTAAATTTTAAAATAAACTTTAAAATGTACTTTAAATTGTTGCAAAGTATGTTTGTGTTTTGCTGAAATTATTCATAATACGTTCTTCGCTGTCAACATTTTTACCCATTGCAATAAACTAACACATTGATTATTAAATAGGGAGCCATAAAAGAAAAGTTCTATGTACTACAGGAAAAAACTTATATGTCCTGCAAAATTCAGGAAATATGTGTATTCTTAAAAATCATTAGCTGTTTCTTTAATCTTTATTCTTAGTGTCTAAGTTTTATACAAGAGTACATTTCTTGAGAGGTTGGTGGGGCACTTGGCAAAAAATTTCAGTGTTTAGTTCTACAAAATTATTTTGTAATGCTGTAACAGTATCTTATTATTACTGATGTAGGCAGTAAATTAACACTGCTGGCAAATGACATTATTCTTTATAGTGCCACAGAGTTTTAATTGTTTTTTCCTAAGTATTCATTGAAAAGACCTGTAGTTCAAAAGACAGAAAGCTACAAAACATAAACAGGAAGTCCTGAGTGCAGAAGATGCAGGAGATATGGAAACATATAATGAACTGTAGATCTGGATGCTCATTTGAATGCACTAGAACTTTAGTCTGAAGGGTGATTTATTTACTTGTTTCTACTTGTACTACGATTAATTTGCTTCTAAAGTTTTCAATTCAAATACTCTCATCTGAGGGACAGTAGAGAAGAAAAAAGTGCTTGCTATCTTAGCATGAACATATTAAACCAAGAAAACATAGTCAAATGATTTTATGCTTCCACCCAATTATCACAAATTGTGGTATTAGAGAATAACATAGTTACTCATGGAGATTCTTGCCTTTCTTGAGAAAGTTAGCTGTTGCTTATTGGCCTTATGAAGGGAGTTTCAACAGTGCGTTGAGATTCATAGTGTCTAAAATCAAAGTGATATAATACAAAAAACTGTGAAGAAAGACATGCTTTTGTAAGGTTCAACCATCTTCTGTAATTTCAAAGAGATACTAGTGGTTTATGTAAACAATCTAGAAAGTATTAAGTTTTATTTATTTACTAAAGACAGTACTTCTCAAACTGTGAAGATAAACTTCAGTGACACTGCCCCTGACACCACCTAGAGTACAGCAAGGAAGGAAAGTATGTAGGTCACTCTGAAAGTAAGGGCTTGTATTTATTTACATGGAAACTACAGTAGATAAAAAGCAAAATAACACTATTTGACAGAAAATTCTCAGCTACAAAACAGTACTTTTTCAACTTAGTCACCACCGTTAGCCGATTCCTGCAGATTTGCTGATCAGAACACTTCATTTTGTGGCATGACAGCTGTGCATGGCCATCTGGAACAAGACTTGTATTTTACGTTTCGCCATTGCTGAAATGCACCACCCACAGCCTCATTGTGCTCACATTCACTGTTTGGTGTCCATCTTCATTCAGCAAGAATAAATTAATGTCAGTGAGTGCAATTTTTGCAGCATGGAGGAATTCATTTACACACCTTCACTTCTTACTCAAATCCATGTCAGATGCTGTTAGACTGACCCTCTGCCACCCTTTGTGGCACAGTGATAAAACTTAATGGAATATCATTGGGAAGGTTCAGCCTTCACTGCCATACCACCAACCTCCACCTTTGACATTATGGGCCAACATAATAAGATACTTTTGGAGCAGCCCTCATATTATTTTATTACATTATTCTGGGCACCTTTAATTTCAACTGAGATGTATTGGTATGTTAGAGGCCACATGACATCAAAACCAAAGACTGAATAATTTGTATATTGTTGAAAAACTTTTCAAGTTTGAAAACTCTGGAAACTCTTCAACTCTGAAGTAATTGTCTGATACGTTTTGAAATGGACTGAAGTGTTAGCTCCAGAGGGACCAAAATACACTGCATATATTTCATGCTGGATTTATGTTTTTCATTATGTTTTTTTTTCATTTTTCAGTGGCTTGCACAGTGATCTCTGAAGACCTGTGTATACCTGCACTGCACTGCAGAGTTGAAGACAGACTGCTTGTGTCACCCTGATTCCAAAGGAGTGCAAGCCCCAGACTTCCTCATGCTCACAGCAGACTCAGCTGTGAACTCAGGCAAGGTCACTCAGCATTTATCTAGGTGGTTTTTGAAAACCTCCAAAGACAGTGACTACACAGCATCTCTTGGTGAACTGACCCACTGTCTGACTTCTTGTGGGATGAGAAAAGGATTCTGTTACCTCAGTCTGAACCCTTCGCTCCAGCTCTTGCCCAGTTAACTCCTGCCATGCTCCACTGATAAGTTTTCTTAGTCCTATCAATGCTGGGTCTCATGGTCTTCTGAAGCCCTTCTGTTAACACTACTAAATGCTGGCTCTGCCTCTTGCAAAATATATTAAATTTATGCACAATAAATAGCAAGTTAAAAATAGCTAGTGTCATTTCCTAAAATTTGGAATCACTTTCATTTTCTTTTATTCACAGATAGAAGAAGACATTTATTAAGTGAAGGTGGAAAGAAAATGTTAGCAGCACATCTCTCTAAGTAAAAGGGAAGCAAATTGAAATCTTAGAATGAAAACATATTCTCCAATTTCAATTTAATATAACACTACCATATGCAAATAAAATAATGAATAAATCTGTCTTATCTGAGTGTTTCTCCTCATCTCGTCACTTGTTAATTCCCATAAGTCTCTTTCTATAACATAATCATGATAATGTGTTTTCAGAGTAGGAAAAAAATATTGTTTTTCTAGTTTTTATGGAAAATAACTGATTTTGTTTGGGCGTGTGTATTTAGAAGCAAAGCGAAATTTAATAGTGTTTATTCTGTCAGTAAGCAGAATAGAAGAACGTTTATCTAATATTCCAGGTGAGTTCAGAAAAAGGTGTAGTCAATATCTGAGAAGAGTATGAGTACAGCTTTTTCAAGGTCAGGAATGAGAGAAGATTTGGATTTTTTTTTGCTGCAGGTGGATATAAATAGTTTTCTGTTGGATTGTCACATGTCTGAAGAGTCTCCATTGACTCTGATAAGGTTACTCTGAATTAAGATCACTGTCACTGAAAATAGAACCTGATTCTTTTGATTTAAATTAGAAGAAAAGCCTTTCTGATTCTGGGAACTTGCAGATACTTACGTAATAATTTTTTTTTTATATAATATAATCAACTTCTAACTGGAAAATCAGAGAACTTGAGGGTAAATAAGTTTATTAACCAGTACTACAGCTTTTTCATCAGCAAAATTCAAAACTCCTTCTGATCATACCTACAAACTTTTAGCAGCATAACTCCACTAAAAGGAAGATTCTCATTATGAAACAAATGGGTCAGTGACTCTAGTGGAGCTGATGACATAAATGACCTAACATTAGATCTGGCTATGGACAGGACTCGTTGAAGGTGCTGGGGATTTGGAGCACTGCATGA